GTAAAATAATCCATGTGACATCAGGGGTTCAACCATAATTTTACGAAGCTACTAGAATATTTTTTGTGCACAAAGAAGAAAAAAAAACAATTCTTATCTTTTGCGTCACCCTAGCACAATTATGGAGAGTATTGAGACGCATGCGCTGCACATTGTTTACGGTAGTACCCTTGCTGTCCATGGAGGGTCAGAAAGCTCTTGGATTTCATCAAAAATATCTTAATTTGTGTTCCGAAAATGAATGAAGGTCCTACAGATTTGGAACGACATGAGAGCAAGTAATTAATGACATTTTTTATTTTTGGGTGAACTATCCCTTTAACAGCAATCTGTTGTTCAACTCTCAATAATACTGAAATGCCAAAAAATGGAAATGAAAATTAGGAACTCAATAACAAATTCACATTTTATAATGTGATACATACAAATCCAGAGCCATATTTCTCCCTTAGAAATGGAAAGCTCATCAACACAGATCTCATCAGATCCACATACTGTGTGTGTGAGTGATACCTGTAAAAGGGAGGAACCTGAAGTTAGCAAAACTTGTTAGCATTAACATACTCGCAAATAAGACAATCTATAGAATTATATTATACGATATACCGGTATGATGGTTTATCACAGTTTGAACATCCACGGTTATCATACCGTAAACATTTGCATATCTACGGTTAAAAAAAAAAAAAACGAAAAAAAACTATCATCCCCGCCCGCATATGCAATTTATCGCCACTCGGCAGCTTCACTCTGCATTCACTTGGCTGCTTGCACACACGTGCAGCGGAGAAAATGACAAGAGACAGAGACTATATCTAATCTCCATCCCTCGCCGAAAAAAAAAATACTTTGGATATTAAAACAAAACGAACAGGGGGTTGTCCTTGAGGACGGATACAATTTGCAAAAAATTTGGACGCAAAGTGGCTGCAAAAGCAGGCAATTCATCCAACATGTTCGTTTATTCTCATATTCACTGACTACATCCCTCCGTGCAGATAAAGGTGTGTCGTTAAAGGGTTATGAAC